AGTTGAGATGCACACAGTCACCTCATATTATTTAAGCCCTGATCTCAGCATTCTAATTTCTCTGTATTCCCCAGTGTATATAATGTGTACTTGCTTGAAATTCCTTATATATTGCTTGTACATTCCTGCTTCTAAGTTTCAGCACATACCAGTTCCTTCTATTTAGAATGCTTTGTTCCTACTGCCCTCAATCAGTTCATAAAACAGATAAAGCTGTCTTTTAAAAATCCAACTCAAAAGTCACCTCCCATGGAATGCCATCTCTGATTAATCTTATTAACCTAATGCCTTTATTCTCAGGCTTCTGTTTCCTAGTCCATTAAACTGTTTCATTTCATTGTAATTGTTGCTTCTGTATATTGTCACTCAATAATTATTCTAGGAATGATCATCTTCCTCCATCCTCTTTTCTCTACTTATTACACACAAATATTTTGAAGGCCTATCGTGACCTTTTCAGTTTCCCCAGAGTTCCAGTTCACCTTCCTTACTGTTTCCTTTTACTTCATAGTTAAATTCCTAGAGAAGCAGGGCATGTATTCAGGGGTTGGCCTCCACCTCAGCATGTGTGTGGCAGCCTGCTGAATAGATCCCTACAATTGGGAAGGAGTTAACCCTCTAGACAGTCTCTGCATTCTACTTAGACACCTTCAAGAAGTAGATGTGAGACCAGGAAGAGAACTAGAGATGGGAGTAGGTAAATTTCCACTGAAAGCCAGGTTAGCTTTTTCCTTCCTGTATACACAAGACCTATAAAGCTGCTGTCATCAGCAGCTCACTCAACACTCTCTTGCTCTGCCTCTTTTCCAGGAGTCAGGGTTAGTTTAAGAAAAAGCCTCTTGCTAGAAGCCATGACCTTGTACTTTTATCCCCTCCATCTGGTGTGTGGCCTCATGGGGCTGTGCTGCTATGCAGGAGGTGAGCAATGGAATTCTTTAGATGATGACTTCTGAGCCCACATGCAGAGGCAGTTGGGGGTGGGAAGCAGGGAAGCAGTGAGAGCCAAGATCGATGGACCAAAAAGTAAAGTCTGCTTTGGGGAAGTCCTGACTCTAGGTAGACTGTTTTCGTGAGGTGTTCTTCCCCTCGCTCAAGCAGGGGCCCAGGTCAGGGAGCTGTAGCATCCCAGGTCTATGATTGATGAACATTGTGCAATTTTCTCTTCTGCTTTAACAGTTGGGATGCAGGAGTGAGATAGGTAGCCTGTGCTGTCTCTAACAGAAAACATTCCAGGATTGAACAGAAAAGAGTTCCCCTTGCACACATCATCTTTTTGGAGCTGCTTTCACTCACTGTCTTGCACCTAAACAGAGGTCCAAGTTTTGAATGGGAGAACAAAGAGGGGTTGAGAGCAGCAAGTGTTTGATCAAGTGAAAAATCTGCTATCTGCCTCATCTCACAGGGGTTTTTCTGGAGGGTTGGGACCCCTTGCCTTGGTGTACACAAATTGCTTGCATCAGCTAGAGTTCCCAGGACCTTTACCAGGCCACAGGTAGGCATCTATCTGGCTTGGGATGGGAGTTTCTTAGGACACTTATTCCCTGATCTTGCTTTCCTAACCCAGGAGTTGACAGCATTTTTAGAAGGAGTGAAATCTCAAAGGAAATTCTAATACATACTTTAAAAGCCCAAAGCTTTAATAATTTTCTGTCATTACTGCTTCTACTGTGTCTATACATTTAGCATAATTTCAAAAGGACTAGATAAAACAAAATTTTTAATGTTAATCTGAAGGGGGAAGAAAAGGGATAGAATTAGGAGCCAGAGTTGTTTAAATGTGGAATACTTTGTATAGTGGTCACATGGTACTGGTGGTAATAGTGGCAGAAATGGCAAAAGGGCCATCGTTTGATGAGGTTCAGGAGGGCCTAGGCTGTTCCTTTGTAAACTATGCTCAGATATACTCTCCTGGCAGTCCTGGGACTCCTATAGGGCTTGAACATTTTATATCAATTTCCGTTTTGAAGGTGTTGGGACTCTGGCGCCCCCAACCCTGGGCATCCTCAGGCTTTGAGGAAAATACACAGGATTTGAAGTCAGAAGACCTAGGTTTGAGCTCTGACTGAGCCAGGCACAGTTCATGTGACCTTGGACAATCACCAAACATTTCTGAACAGCATCTGTAAAATGACAGTAACCCCTACCTCACAGGGTTGTTGTGAGGATTACATATATGCTAAAGCATTTTGTGTATGAAAAAGCTTCTTACAAATATTACTGTTACTCCTGAGGAAACCCCACCTTGGAAGCTGTCAAAAAAGACAACTTTAGATGGAATTGTCTTCCTTTTTTCTTTATTCAGCTTAGCCTTTCTGTTTGGCCAGGGCTGCTTACAGGGGCTGGTGGGGTTGAAATAAAGTCACCACATTTTGGTTCCTTTGGTCAAAGAGAAAGAACTCCAATGTCTAGCTGCTCCATCCGTAGACTCATAGAATGGAAGTGAGCAAAGGAAAATTTTAAGCCAGGATAGTTAAGGAGCCAATGAAAGAAGGCTTGCCTTGCATTCGCAAATCCAGAGTGACTAAAACATCTTAAGTAAATAAGGAATAGCCACAAAGATGCTCAGAGATAATTTAAGCCATTAATGGGATGTGGGAAAATGAGTTTATAAACTCTCTTTTCTATCCCTTTACCTTTGAGGTCAGGGACAGGCATATTACTGACACCCCATTGGCCATTGCCCTATACCTGCCAATCACCCAAAGAAAATAATAGCTTCTGAGAAAGCTCAATTCAGTGTAGCAACTGTGATATATTTACCCTAATAAAGTCACCACTTGGTCTTTTCCAGTGCCTCGCTCTTATGGAGATCATCCCTGGAATCCAAAACTGTCCTGTTTTCTTACCCAGTTAAGAGTTAAAAACAACCACAGGTCATGAGCAGTAGACTTGGCAATTACACCTCGTGCAGTCATAGGATACTGCCCCATCATTCACAGCATGTAGGGTGTACCTCTCACTATCTCTGGCATGAACCAGCCTTGCAAAGTTGTACAGTCTCAGCCACTCTGCTTTGGTGGTAATTCTTCACTGATCTCTCCTCTCCATGTCCTTTCTGCATCCTTCCCCCGACCACCCACCAAAGGGGCTCTGGTCCCCAGATCAAACAGTTGCCTGCAGGTTGGTAATGTAACTTTGTAGATATTCCTTGGTTACAGCTAGACCCTATTGGTATGCTTTTTGAAATAATGGATCAAATTCTAATTGCTTTTTTAAAATTTGTTAGGGAGAGGAGGATGAGCAGAACTCCTATGCAGCCTGAGAGTTCTGTATGTGTCCATATATGTATACCTTTGTGTGTGTGTGTGTGTGTGTGTGTGTGTGTCTGTGTGTAACCTTATGGTTGTGCTCAGGCTGACAGGGAGGGCAAAAAGTGAAAAGGAAGCATGTCTTTCGTGTTTTCCAACATTGCTTCAAAGATGCCCAACCCCCGTAGTAGCAAGCAGTTCCCAAGTGGAGGGTCGGGGCAGAGGCCTCCACCAAGGCCATCAATAACCAGGTATGAGCTACAGGTCTCTGTGTAATGTGAAGCTCTCCCGTATTTCATTTCTGCACCCAGGGGGCGGCTCTGCAGGATTGCTTACGGAGAGCTCTGTGTCTGGCACCTCTCTCCACAAGGCCCAGGCGCCCAGGGTCCCACCGACCTGCCCAGAAATGCATCACATTGTTCTCTGGTGCTGTAATTTGGCTGCAGGAGCTAGGCTGAATGCCTCCCAGGGACGAGAAACATACTCTCCCATACTCTCCCTGGCATCCTCCCTTCACCCCAGCTAGCTTGAGCTTCTGCCCTATGACCACTGAGAGCATTTAAATAAAACCCTCAGACTGAGGAAAAAACATCCTACTTATCTCTCTTCTGTTAAGCCATATAGAGAGACTAGTGTCCTGAGTGGGTCTCAGAATTTGGCAAAGACTTAGTGGTTGGTGTTCTTGATAAGGGCAGTGAGAAAAAGGAGAAGAAATTACCCCCTGCAACAGGGAGGAATAGAAATGAAGCAGTGAGTGTTCAGAAGTTAGATCTACAAGAAGTTTTGCAAACAGACCCTCAGGAACAGACTATGTTTGTTTTTGTTTTTAATCTGAAGCCCATGATTTTATTTTTCCAGCATCACTCTAAGGAATAGTGTGGATTAGTGCCATTATTCAGGGCTGGTAATAATAAAAGTTAGCTTTTATCTCCAGGTCTAGGTTATGGATGGCATTTTTCTTTTACCCAAGAACAACTGTCTACAGGCTGTGCAGCTGAGGTACTTCAGTCATGTGCCTTCTCTAAGGGATTCTCAGATCCTTAAAATAGATAGTATCTTTTAAGTTTGTATCTAAGTAGCACTCACTGTAATGCGTTATACCTAAACATTTATTAAAAGTTAGAAGAAATGAGTACCAACAGAAGGAATGGAAGAGAGGAGAGGGGCTAAGATATTGCTGATCTGACGGACAGACCTCTGTCCAATAGAGGTGGGCTGGCAGAAGGAGTTATTAGAAGCAGAGTGAGGAAACTAAATGGAGCCCTGAATGCACTAAATAAAGTTCTCATTTTGCTGCTTGTTCCAAATAAATTAGTGTCTGTGAAGCGCAGGATATATGCCAGTTGAATAAAGCCAATCTGAATGCAGAGGTAAGCTAAGAACTATGAGGAAAAATTAATTGCTTGGCCATCATTCCTTCTCAGGGCCACATAACCTCTGTAGTGGGGTTCAGATGGACATAATCTCTCTTGCATATTCACCTTGCTTTTCAAACTTCTGACTCTCTGGACAGCTTGCTCTTTTCTTAACCATTTATAGGAAATTGCAAAACTTGCATCTTTATGAGCTAGAATGTGGAGCCCAGGGAAAAGCACAGAGTAGCATGAGATGCCAGAAGAGGCCCATTTCTTTCCATAGGATGAGAACCAAAAACCAAATAGATAATAGGGTGCAGGTAGATTTAAGTCAGGTTGACTTCCCGTGGAAGTCCTGTGCCATTATTTACATGGTAACCTGCATGTTCTTATGAGAACAGGGGCTGGCTAGGACCTGAGCCTTTCCCCAGCAGCCTGGCATATAATATAAGGCAGCCTCCTTTGGTAAGTTCATTCAGCCCTACTGTTACATTCAGACTGACCATGATCCCCTTACCTCTCCACTACCCCAGAGCTTTCCTCAAGATGTTAGCTCTTCTCTTCCCCTCCCATTTCCCCCCCTTAATCCCACGATTGGCTCATCGGTTATCCAGTTAACTCCACTCTGAAGGAAGACATTCTCTCAGCCTGACTCACTCAGGCCCATTTCTCCACAGCCATCCCCTCTCCGCAGACCACAAGGGCCCTGACTAGCTCATGTTTTGTGTTAATGGATGTGAAACCAGAGCAAATCCCCTCACCAAAAGAAAATCCACCCTAAACTCTCCCACACAGGTCTCAGCAGGTTACACAAATATTAGTCCTATCATCCAAATAAATCTGCCCCCATAGCCCAGAGCTATGGCTCCCCCAACCTCCTGCTGCCTGTGCAGAGTGAAGCTGCTTCAAAAACATATGAGGACCCCAAGGAATGTTTGAGAGGAACTTGGGAAAGAAAGGGGCCTATAGCCAGAATTTTATGCAGGCCCCTTAATCTACAGACTTTTGTCAATACTTTATAGTCCTAATGAAGGACTGTTCCTAGAGAAGTCATGATGGGCTAGAGCAGCCAGGGGCTTTGGTGAAGAGTATCTGTGGGCTGGAGTTTGGGGCATAAGTAAGGCTTAGTATCTGACAGCTGGGCACAGTAGCTTATGCTTGTACGCCCAGCACTTTGGAAGGCTGCAGTGGGAGGATTGCTTGAAACCAGGAATTCAAGACCAGCCTAGGCAACACAGCGAGCTCCATCTCTGAAAACTTAGTTTAAATTAGCCAGGTATGGGGGCATGTCCCTGTAGTCCCAGCTAGTGGGGAGGCTGAAGTGGAAGGATTGCTTGAGCCTGGGAATTTGAGGCTGCAGTGAGCCATGTTTGTGCCAGTGCACTCCAGCCTGGGCAACAGAGTGAGACCCTATCTCTAAAAAAAAGAAATGAAAAAAAGAACAGGTATGTATCCTCCTTTTGCAGATGAGAAAATGGAAGCTCAGAAAATTTAGCTACCTTGCTCAAAATATCAAAAGCAAGTGGCACAGCTGTGATGTTTAACCCAGAAATGTCATAACTGCAAATTTCTATACTACTCCACTACTTTAAAATATCAACAGGCAAAAGATAACCACTGTCCAAGTCACATAAAGATAGGACATCAAGGTTTGGGGGACTTCGTGTCCTACCCTCCAGCTTACTGAGCCTGCTATCTCTGGAGATCCCACTACTGCAAACCTAGCTAGGCAACGGCTAATAGCGTAGAAGAAACCCTCCTCTATTTAAGCCAAATGTGGAGTTAATAATAATCACCAGGACTTGGAGAGTCACTAAATAAAGATTTGTTGAGTAAATGGAGGAAGGCTGCCTTCTAAGCTGTGTATCACTTTGGCCTCAAGCCCCAGCACTCCTTCCCACTATAGCCACTAATTCCTGCTCCCAGCTTCAAAGGCTAGGATCCTCTCATGAAGAATTACCAAAGCCAGAGATCCCTACCTGCCTAGTATTCACTGATGCCTTATGTGGGCCCTTGAGATCAGACCTGCTTGCCCCCTCTCCCACCGTCCATGAGTTGCCTATATTTTATTCCGTATTTCCCCAAACCTGGCTAACCTCCAGAATAATGCATGGAAAGAAAAAAACAAAAACCCAAGGCCTGGCCAGACTTAACTTTCTCTATCCTAGGAGTATTCTAGGGTATTCTAATGATCTGTTAGGCATGGGAATCACTGCATTCCACCTCAGTTTGAACGGGCAGCAAATGAGCAAAAGAGGCAGTGCTGTCCAATACAGGTTGAGAATGGTAGAGAGAAAAAGAGAAAAAAGAGAGTGAATGTGTGTTTGTATAGTTATGATTTTTTTTCTTCTACAAAACTCAGCAGTTTATAAACATATGAGCATGTGAACAGAACCTTGTATACTATGGCTAACATCTCAGGCTCTCAATACTAGAATGTGGTAGCCTAAGATTTTCTTGTGGGGTACCAGGTAGTCTGCTCAAACTGACTTCAAGAAGCGACATGCTGTTTCATCTTTGTCCTATCTAACTTTGGCCAGGTAGAAACAAAAAGAAGCTCTCTATAGGTACCCTTCCTTTTGCACACCAAGGGAGTATCAGGAAGCTGGTACAAAGAAAAGAAAAAAGGAGCCTCAACTACGTACTTCAGTGCAACTCATTTCACTCTAAAGACCCCCTATCTTTTCTACTCTCCCTTCACATCTCCAGAGGGGGAAATCAGGGAGCTTGATCAGGTTCTTGTATCCCCTGTCAACTCCTTCCCAGGGCTGAGGAACCAGCCAGGACACCATGGTCCCTATGGATTACTCTCTACATCCTTAAATAGAAGCTGCAGCAGCCCAGGGTGGAGGATGGAGGAAGGCGTGCATGCAAGGATCTTGTGCTTTTGAGTTGAGAGGCTCGAATTGGAGGGATGAGTGAGGTATCAGTGTGTTCAGGTCTGGTCCAGCCACTCTGCCTTCTTGGGGGCCTTGCAAGTATGGACATCCACAATGTCTCTGCATTCCTTGCACCGCACAGCACAGCACCAGTGGAATTTGCACTCACACTGGGTAACACGGGTGACTCGAGTTGTGTCGTACCCTCGGCCACAGCACATGATTTCACAACCATCTGTTCCTTTTGATGTCTTGCTGCAGACACGGCCTGCAGTGCCTAGGGAACCTGGGTTGGGGGAGAGAAGGAGTGAGAACCAAGTTATCTCTTCAGCTGCCCCAGATACCCTTACCCACATTCTCAGAAGGAAGACATAAAGAATCCCTTTTTTTGGCTGGGCACAGTGGCTCAGTATCTCACTCACGCCTGTAATCCCAGCACTTCAGGAGGCCAAGGCAGGATTGCTTGAGTCCAAGAGTTCAAGACCAGCCTGGGAAACATAGCAAGCCCTGTCTCTACAAAAACTTAAAAAATTAGCCAGGTGCCATGGGCATGAGCCTGTAGTCCCAGCTACTCAGGAGGCTTAGGCGAGAGGATCACATGAGGCTGGGAGGTCGAGGCTGCAGTGAACCAAGATTGCACCACTGCACTCTAGGCTGGGTGAAGGTGAAACTCTGTCTCAAAAAAAAAGAAGCATCGGCTCTGACATCAGATTATCTGGATTCAAATTCCAGTTCTACCACTCTTAGCTGTGTGATTTAGTCAAAATGAAACATTAACTTAGTGTCTCATGTGAAAATGAACACACTAATAAATAGATCATTAGATATAATCTCTGTTCATCCGAAGAGATGAACTCATTAGCATGACTGGCTGGAGGCATATTCCTAAGGAATTCCTAAGGAATATCCCTTGCATTGTTATTATCCCTAAGCATTATCCCTTCCCCTTATAGTGGAAACTCTTGAAATACAGGGATCATGTTTTTCCCCCATGCATAGGGAATGCTTAGAATCTCATTCTGACTGACCCTGCCAACAGATCATATAATCTATAGACTTTTGGATGGGTTGGGCCCATGAGAGTATCTACTTCAACCTTTTCCATAGTTAATAAGGATCCAGAGATGGGGAAATAACTAGCCTAGGTTCAAAAAGGAAAATAAATTAACTGATTTCTACAGCATTAGTCTCCACATACCACTGGGATAGGGAAGGAAAATACTAGAACTTATATGTTTTTGTATCTCATCAATTTAAAATATCTATTTTGTATGTACGTTTTATAATTACACATCCATGTAGTGGGACACAGATATAACTTATAAATAAATATACATGTAATGGAGATATATGCTCAAATTGTTTTACTGATAGGAGTAAAGGATCCAGAATGTTAAGAGACCACTGCTCTGGAATGTGCATTGACTAGGTCTACTGAATATGTTAGTCTCCCAACTCCAAGGGCTGGCTCTTAAGTCCTCTTGGGCACCAAAAACCCCTTCTACATTCTGGAGCTGTGCTGTCCAGGGTCACTAGTCACATAGGGTCTTTTACATCTAAATTAATGAAAAGTAAACAAAAAAATTGAGCTCCTCAGTCACACTAGCTATATTCCAAGTACTCAGTAATCACATGTGGCTAGTTGCTACTGTATTGGAGAGCACAGATATGAAAACATTTCTATCATCACAGAGTTCAGTTGGACTCTACTACTTTGGAGGGATTTCCTGGCTCCATATTCTTTCTGGGATGACTTATATTCTTTGAATTCCAGGCCCCACTTTGGGTTTTAGGAGACCTAATCTTATGCCTGTGAGAAAAACCAACATACATTTGACATATCCTCTCTTCTAACTCCAAAGTTCTTCCCCTAAAGGTGCATTTTCAGTATGGTAGTGTAGGCTTACACCTTGGATATTATGAAATTATTTCTAGGTATCCAGAGTGCAACCCTCTGAATTAGATCACGTGGGAAGAAAGCCTACTTAGTGGCAGGAAATCACTAGGAAAATCAGAAGGGCCCCAACTGTTTTTCTTCTAACACCCTACAAAGTATACAGACTACCTCCTTTGTTACTTGGGTAGAGCCCCACCCTGTTTCTGTGCCCAGTTTTACTCCAAGCCACTTGACTCTTCCAGGAATGACAGTGATGGGTGAAAACAAACAGTACCAAAGATAGCTGAGGCTTTTTGGCTCCGCTTCACCCAGGTCCTTACTGTTGAGCCTGTAGAAAAGAGCCCGGAGCCCCATGACAACAGCCAGAGGAGAAGAGTTCTGCTGCATTGCATGTTCCTGGTCTAACCTATCTGAACCAGAAACACGAGCCAGGATGGTAACTTTCCTTCTCCTGGAGAAAAACTGTATTGTCTTCCAGCACCTCCAAGAATCCCACCACAAATACCTCAAACAGACTGAAAAACGACCATTTGCTGCTTTACTTGCCTTTGGTAGGGATCTCTTTCATTTCTTTCTCAGCTCTGTTTCAGAATCTTCAATGGCAGCACACTGGATAAAGCCTTTCAAGGACATCTTTCTAGCTTTTATCTCCCTTACAGGGAACCTTTATCCAGCAGATTGCTCTCTTCTCTGTCCCTGGAACAGGTCACGTGGTTTCCCACCTACTACTCTCAGATAAGAAACTGCCCACTCTTCTCTCAAGCTATCCAGATACTCCCCACACTTCAAGGAGCAGCTTAAATTCTACATTTTCTTTCTTCTTCTTCTTCTTTTTTTTTTTTTGAGACAGAGTCTCTTTCTGACTTCAGGCTAGAGTGCAGTGGTGCAATCTCGGCTCACTGCAACCTCTGACTCTCTGGTTCAAGGGATTCTCCTGCCTCAGCCTCCTGAGTAGCTGGAACTACAGGTACACATCACCATGCCTAGCTAATTTTTGTATTTTTAGTAGAGACGGAGTTCCACCAAGTTGGCCAGGATGGTATCGATTTCCTGACCTCGTGATCCACCTGCCTCGGCCTCCCAAAGTGCTGGGATTACAGGCATGAGCCACTGCGCCTGGCCAAATTCTATATTTTCAAATAAACTTTATTGACTTCTCCAATCATCTCTCTTTGCATTTGTCTACCCATTATATCTCATTTCTTTAAGTAGATTGCAAAGAGCCAAAGGCTTAGGGCTGCATCTTATGTTTCTGTGTAGCCCACACATTACTTAAAACTGAAAACAGATAGCTAAATTAAACATTCCCTGGATGATGCCTACTGTATCCGTGATGCTGGAGATACAAAGGAGCAATGCATGACCTCAGGCCTCAAGGAGCTGAGTGACTTCCTCTCTACTTGGCAGCACTGGGCCTGGTGGACTGAGGCATAAGTCAACAACGTCATGACCAGGTGTTCATGTGGGAGGAAACTGCCTCCTCCCACAGAACCTCCTTCCCTAGCTCCTGAGACTGAACAGACCATGATTAACCAGGGGTGCCTGCACTAAGAACTGGGACTCCATGTCCCCACCTGCCTTCCTTACTCACCTGCAGCCTTGTCCAAGACACAGTAATCTGGGGAGTTGTCAAAGTAGACAAGATCAGTCCGAGTGGCACGGCGATAGCCTTGGCGGGCTGCAGTGAAGTTGGCACCGTCCTGGGTGGCCATCACCTGCACAGCCCCATCATAGCGCCGCCGCAGGTAATCACCTGTGCGGCGGAAATCTGAGAGTGCACGCCAGCAGGTACGCAGAGTACAGGAACCACTCACGCCATGGCACTTACACTCCAGCTTCAGAAATCGCCGCACAGCCTGGGGGAGGGGGAAGGCAGGTAAGGGCGAGGTAGCTAGTCAGGGCACATTTTAGTCATCCCTAGGGCCAAAAGGATGAGTGCTCTGAGTTAGGCGGACCTGGCCCTGGCTGGCTGATTGAGCTCTTGGTTGTTCTCTCCCACATCAGATCCCACCCATTCTTCCAGAGCAAGCTCAAGAAACTCTTCTTCCAGGAAATCTTCCTGGACCAACAGTGCTTTCCTTTTCATAACAGCCCACAGGACTTTAGAGCCACGGGATTCTGTTCATGATTACAATGTGCTTGCACCTCCTCTAGTTTTCACGTTTTAGAGTGCCAGGTACCATGCCTTCTACTTTAGTAGTGCGCCATTTTCCCGCATAGTACTACACACATAGAATGTGTTCAAATACCAGGGAACTGACTAGAACAACCTCTTATCCTCTCAGTCTTTATGAAAGCAGTTCTTTTCCTTCTTAAAATGTTACTTCTTTTCTCCACTTTTTCCTACTGTCCTCCTTTATGAAGACTCTTCACGCACCTGGTTAAACCTAGGCATTCCCAAGCTCCCTTGCATTTAGGATGATGGGGCTTTTGGAAGTGATCCAGAAGCCTTCAGCTCTTCCACCTTCACATTTATTTAATCCATGGTCACACATACTGGTCACCCCCAGCAAATATGAGTGTACATACACAGACATGAGTACTGACCGTGCGACCACAGCGGTTATTATGTAAGTTCATGAGGGCCCGGGCATCCTTAAGCCTCTTCTCCTTGGCATCTACGAAGGCCTTCGCAAAACGGACACCATAGTGGATGTTGTCACTGCAGCCACCCCAGTCAAAGTCCCCACGCTGGTCATGGTGTCGGCCACGGGTGTAGGGGTCACAGCTGCACACACTTAATTCACCCTGGCTACAGGCACGAGTAATAGCGTGGACTACTCCTGCTGATGAGATGGCATATACAAAAGCTGCCTCTCGGCTACCTAGAGAGAGAATTGTAGAAGTGTGTTTCAGGAAGGAGGCCCATGTCTCTCCCCTTCTTCAGCCCATACAACCTCTGACTCTGAAACCTCTTCCCTCCTTTTCTTTTCCAGAGTCACCCCTACACCCGCTTTATTCAAGGTGCCTTTCATTTCCAAGAGCATTCCCCAGAGTATCTGACCTCTTCCCCTCAGCCCTCACTACTCTCTATCCGCTTCTTTATATATCTGACCTTTTGAGCTGACCTATACTCTTGTTTCCTGCCAAATTCCCTGTGTCCATCTATTGAAAAGTCTCCTGGTGAATCATCCCCTCCCACTGAGCACCAGCACTGGCTCAGCTAAGCCTGCCTTAGTACACATTCCAGGCCTTTTCAGGCCCACTCTGCTGGACAGTTCCCCCACAATGGAGACCCCAGCCCAGGGGTCAGCCGTTTAGAGATCCATGCTACCTTCCCTTGCCTGCTTCCTCTCCCTCCCTGTTCTTAGAGACTGATGAATTCTTGCCCCTGTGTGCCTGACACCTTCAGATTCTCATCTTGTTCCCTTTCTCCTAGTTTACTGTCTAGCTCTCTTTAGCTTTTTTGCTGAGCTGAAGCCAAGCCACTGACTCTCCAAATATTTACATATCACCTTTCTGTTTATCTCTTGTTCCCATTGCTGTAGTGTTGGGAGTATTGGGTGACGGTAGTGATGGTGGTGTTAAGAGCAGTGGGCCTATCGTAGACCTCAGCCTTCCTTACAGTACGTGGTAGCCTCCCAAGCTGGGAATTGGGGAGGACAAGGAAGATGAGCGAGAAAGATGGAAGTTCTAGGGAATCCTTTACCTTGGTCTTGTCCCAGAGCACCAGGATTTAGAGGAGCCCCTGTCTACAAATCTAAGGTGCTAAGAGTCTATTCCCAACTATATCCTGGGCTCTGCCCACAATTCCTCCTCTGATTTTGCAACAGTGTATGGGAGAGGAGAGGGAGGATCCTGCCTATACTTCCCATTCACCACCCCAGCACAGAAAGGGAAGTAGCTGTCACAGGATGGAAGAGGCCCCTACTTCTGAGCATGACACGGCCAAAGACGGTGTGGTCCCGGTCCACAGTGGTACAGTTCCAGCGGTGGTGGCGGAATTGGTGCTGACACTCTCGGATCCATTCTCGGGCACCCTCGCCCACTGAACGCATGATGTCTGGGTAACGCTGGCACAGCTGCCGCTGCCGGCTCACCAAACCAGGGATATTGTCACAGATCACTCGGGCCCCCAGTGCCCCAATGTACCTGCAAGGTGGAGATGGCCCTGTCAGAACATCCCAGCCTTTTTTCTGCATTGGGAAGGAATAAGGAGGGGGCATTTTTAGCATCCAGACCTTGAAGAGATTCTGTCCCCTCTCCCTAACCCATATTCCATAAAGCTGATGAGTAGAAAACCATTTCCCACAGTTCTGAAGAAGTATGAATAGTTATACAGTTGCAAAGAGAGTAATTGAGTGGCCTCCCACCATCACCAATTCCCCAGCCAAAGGCCAAAGTGACACACACTCCCAGAACACAAACTAGGCATGTGTCACATACACAGAAGCTGTGGGTATGTCACACAGACTCACTGTTTATTTAACAAACATTAAGAGCTTCATGGAAAAATAAACTAACAAAATAAGGGTCTGAGACAACATTCTTTTTTTTTTTTTTTTGAGATGGAGTCTCGCTCTGTCACCAGGCTGGAGTGCAGTAGTGCAATCTCAGCTCACCACAACCTCTGCCTCCTGGGTTCAAGTGATTATCCTGCCTCAGCCTCCCAAGTAGCTGGGACTACAGGCGTACCCCACCACACCCAGCTAATTTTTGTATTTTTAGTAGAAACAGGGTTTCACCATGTTGATTAGGATGGTCTTGATCTCTTGCCCTCGTTATCTGCCCACCTCGGCCTCCCAAAATGCTGGGATTACAGGCATTACCCACCACACCCCACTGAGAGACAACGCTCTTACGCTCCCATTAAGATGGATGATGACCTGTGTGGTTGGTCCATGAAGATATGGTTTGACAGCAGGGGAATGGTGACAGAAAGGAGCTAATGGGAAGAGATATAGTGAGCAATTCAAGTAATGTTTATAGCTCTAGTCAGACCCGTGTAACTAAAAAAATCCTCATTCCCAATCGAGAAGTCTGGGGAGGAAGATCCCACCCTCCACTCTCCTCCTCAAACCCTTTATTTCCAGGCCCTAGGGACTTTCTTAACAAATGAACCTTTTAAAATCATCTTCCCCAACCTGGAGAGACACGCATAGGCCGTCTGCAGTGGGAAGCCAAAGGCCAAGATAAGTAAGAGGGTGACTCTCCCCAAACTCTAGTCCCCAGGCTGCCCAATATGAACAATTAAAAGAAGATCAATTGAGATGGGATACTAAAGAATAGGTGGGTTGCCAGAGTCATTACTGTTTCTCAAGGCAATATTTTCTCTTAAACAGTTTTAACCCTGGATCCCACCACAAGCCTCAGGAAGAATATTTCAGAGAGAAAACAGGAGTATATCACCCTTTTCTCCCAAGAGGCCACCAAACGAGATCTGACCCATTCACCCACTTCCTCCAGCTCAACAGCCAGCTCTGTTTCTCATTCCCTTCCGTTCTCTCCAAACCTATAGCACCTTTCTTGATTTGCTGGGAACTTTCTATTCTCCTGTCCAGAGCACATCAAAGGGCTGCCCTCCCTCCCCTTTTCTGAACAGGTGGGGGTCATGGAGAGCAACTGCTACTGCAGACAGAAAAGATTTGGTTTGAGCTGTGAATGAGCCTGTGGTTTGGGAACGGCCCCAAAATGGGCCTAGAAGTGGGTGAGGAGAAGGGAGGGCTGCTGGTAGGGGGAGGGGAGAAGCCAGACTGCCCTGGGCTCTGTGTCCCCCCCTGCCACCCCTCCGCATTCCCACAGCCGGCCCTCACCCACAGACTGGATCACCACTGGTGACACCAACTCAAACAAACACAAGGAGGGCTGATGCTTGCCTCTTCGGGAACTCAGCAGGGCTGATGGGGCCCATCTGTCCCGGGGAAGGGGTGAGAGGGTTGGCCCTCCCCTAACAAATCCCATGGAATCAGCGTCCCCAGCACTGTCCATCAGGGCAACAGCTTCCAGGAACAAACAAAATAAACACCCCAGACAGGGCCAGGCCGGAAAGGGCTGCCTGACGCACAGCCCAGAGTTACACCCACTGCTGTGGTGCTTTGTTTGGAGAATCAAGACGGTTGGAGTTGGAGCTTGTCCCTGTCTCACCACCGTTCGGCTTCCCTAGTTCAGCCCAAGTACTGCTCTAGGCAATGGGTGTTTTTTTTTTTTTTTTTACTGGGGCTTGGGTGAAGAAGACTGGATGGGAATGAGAGACCAATAACCCAGCCCTCATGAGACAGTCTGGAGTGGGGCAGGCCAAACTCGGGCAAAAAGTCCTTCTTGTGGTCTGACTTAAATCCATTCTGCTGCAGCCCACGTAGGTCCTTTTTATTACATCCTTACTGAGTGTGGGAACATCTGTTCAGTATCTAAGATGGGAAGATAATTAAATGTCTCTATTACCACCCTTACCCCTCTAAGTTACAAGTTCAAGACTCCACAGAATGGTGCTGGCTTACTCTTCAGTATCAGCCCCTTGTAGTTAGTGTAGGAGGTCCCCAATAAAACTGAGCCTAACCCCATCTTCCTATCAGTTCAACACATGCCTGCAAAATGCCTGCCATGTGCCAAGCACTGAGTTTAGATGTTAAGGACACAAAGATATGGAAGGCATCTCCCACCTCATGCTCTGTTAGGGTGTTAGATGCCCTGACTCTCTAGCTTTGTTTTTTCTTCTGGAAGTTCTTCACCTCCTTCCCAGCTTCCTGCCCCACAATGCTGCTCTTCACCTACTTTTGGCCAGTTCACATCCCTTCATTTGACAGAGTGAAGTATACACTACTCTAGCCCCTTGTTACTCAAAGTGTGGTCCCCAGAACAGCAGTATCTGTATCATCTGGGGATTCATTAGAAATGCAGACAGTCAGGCCCCACCCAAGGCCTAACGCCTCAGAATCTACATTTCAGCAAGGTCCCCCACATGGTTTGGATGCAGTGCTCCACGAAAGCAGGGATTTTTGTTGGTTTCATTCACTTCAGTATCCCCAGTACTAAGAACAGTGCCTAGCACATAGTAGGTATGCAGTCACTATTTGTTGAATAAACACCTAACTGTTCTGATTTATCCCGAACTCCCTTCTCCCCCTAGCCAGCCATAAACTTCATTTCCAATCTGCAGATGTTTTATGTTTGTATATTAAAGATACAAACGGGCCAGGGATCTGCTTTTTTTCTTTCCTTCTTTCATGTACATCCCCTAGTGTACATGGTTCAGCCCAGCACATACAGGACTTTGAATATGGATAAAACTATTAGCCTCCATGAATCTGCTCTTAATGCCACAGCATCCCTCATTTTCATTTGCAAAATAAGGATGATAATAATAGAACCTACCTCACTGGATTATTTTAGATTGACCAAGATGATGCTCATAAGGTGTTTGGCCATCATGCCTGAAGCTTAGTAAGGGCTCATTAAAAACAACTACTGTTGGTAACAGTAATGCTAACAATATGATACCACTTTGTGCTTCTCTCCCTTGGTGAGCCTGTGAACACAGTCCTGCTCTTGTGATTCCCTACATCCAACCCCTATAGAATGCAAAATGGAACAGGAAAGCACATGCCAGAAGCCCCTTATTTCTTGGTCTGTTTAGGATAGATGGAGGGCAGTGATTAGAGAGTAAGGGGAAGAATCTCAAGCTATAAGAAAAATCCAACTATTAACTGGTGAAAATGATGGCCTTCTGCTCCAGTGTGGAACACAGATGCACCAGAGTAACAGGCATTTCTCTTCCACGGGTTCTACAGAACGTCAATCTTGCTGGTTTTTTCCTAAGAGAAAGGCTTGGGGGCTTAGCCTGCCTTTAGAAGGTAGCTTTTCACCTTATACCACAAGTGGCGATCACTGAGACGGGCATTTGGGCCTGTAGCTATGACAAGTGTGAGGCAAGGAGGCTGAAACACACTTCCCAGCCTGGCCCTGTTGTAGCCTTCCTCCTTTTCCCGGGGGCTGCTAAGTCACTCTGTGTGTCACCTACCTCCCTCCCTAGCTCTTTCGCCCAGGAATTTTTCCAAATCTTTAATATGAACCACATCAGGGGAGGGTAGTAGAGGGAGAAAGGAAAAGGGAGAAGGAGTAGTCAAGGGTACAAAATGGGGTATAGGAAGACCCCCACTTGAGTCTTTAGTAACCACTGCCAGGATGCTGAAATTACCAGAGTGACACTCTCACCCAAACACCAATTGGTCCCCGAGACTACATCCCAAGCTGGTAGCAATCAAGAGTCCCAAAAAGTAAACTGCCATCTGGGTCAGATGAAGATGGACAGTGGTCACTTCATGCTGTCTCAACAGAGACCCTGAAGATGCCAAGTCCCCAGCTAAACCAAGCTCATGAAGGCAAAAGGTGGCTTTGATCTCACATAGAACTTTGAAAAGTTTTTCTCCTTATTCTCCTTCTTCCCTCTCCCTTTCTAAAAGAATATTTCAAGCCAGATGTAAGATACAGGCCTCTCTATTCCCCCATCCAGAACCCCCCTCCTCACCTTCCCTAACACTGCAGAGATTTAAAAAAAAAAAAAAAAGAAAGAAAGAAAGATCCAAAAGAGATTTTTCTGAAACAGGAAAACGGGGTGGGGGTTGGGATGAGAAGAGACGCATCTTGAAATGATAGGAATCTGCAGCCCAAGCTGGTGGGCCCCTCGGCCAGCTACCCCTCACCCTTCAGCCAAGATTCCAAGTCAAGAGGAGAAAAGCCACAGGGTGCAAGGGGAGAAGAGACGACACTTGGGGGCGGGGGGCTTGCACGGGAAGAAGAACCGAGTAAGGAAAGGAAGGGGGGCACTGCATGGTAGAGAGGGGCAATAGCCTAGTCCAAGAGGCCAGTTTGATTTCAGGGTGAAAAGGAAAGAATGAGTCTTTTCTAGGTTCAACTCTTCCTGCGTTGCCCTCTCCCCTGGGTGGGGAAGAAGGGAAAGCAGCTCCTTCTCCTACTGAAAGGTGATGAGTACCATCCAAGGAGTCCGGGGCAGGGAGGATTCTAAAAAGAACAGACAGCAGACATCCAGTGGATCTGTAATGCCTTTTTGCCTCGTCTGCCCTCTTGTGAAGTGTCTGGAGCCTAGGGCCTGCAAGAAATCTGGGGAAGGGGTCTCGTAGTACCTCGGGACTCCGGAGCCCTCTGGCTCTCGAAGGTGAGAAACGGGAGATGGGAAAGAATAGCAAGAAGGGAAGGAGACATAAAGTATCCAAGTGACATCCTCAAAACGGTGGCTGAAGAGGAACGCCTAGATAATGCAAACCCATGTGTTTTGTTTAATTGTGGGAGTTAATGGGGTAAATTTTGCCCCGATTCCATTTCTAAGCCTCCTCAGCTGGGTGCTGCTGCCTCACCAAAGCTTTCCTGTGGTACGGGTGGACTAGAGTAGCAAGATGCTCAGCTGACCTCGCCAGCTGCCCCTTTCTCCACCTCTCAGAGGGAGACCTTAGGCGATTGGGGCCCTGGCGAAGCTATTGCGGGCCCCGGAAGGTTATTTGTTCCTTGAACTCACCCTGAGGGAAACTCGGAAGGTAGCTTCTGCCATAAGGAGCCTTAGCTGAAATAGAGGGGGTACAGCACATGGAGGCCTGGGGAGCCGCGATCACCGGGCATCCTATCTCCGAATGCGCCTTTCTCACCAGCCGTGTAAGATGTGGAGCCTCACACTCCCGCCACCCCACAACTTTAGACTTCAGTGACAGTCGGCCCGAATAGTTTCCAGCTCCGTCGAAGCAACAGCTTGGTCCCCGGAGCAGCCCGTCCCTCCAGGCGCCTCCGGCCTCTCCTACCAAGCGCCTCACCCGCCCAGCCTGAGAGCCACACTTACCACCAGGACGTGTCTACGCGGGCCGGCAGCGTCAGCAGCAGCAGGAGCAGAAAGCAGGCAAGACCTAAGCGGGCTGATGCCCGGGAGCCGTCGGGGGCCGCGGGTCTGGGCGAGGGCACCGGGACCAGGGCGCGGGCGCGCCGAATGGGGAGCTGCGCAGCTTCCTCCGCACCACCCGGTCTCAGCATAGCTCCCCGAAGACTCCCGCCCCGCAGCCCGGAGGGGCGTGGACGGGGCACCTTCTGAGGTTACTCAGGCCGCTCCTACCTCACGCCCCCGGGGGCCCATGGGGTTCACCGGCGGCTGCGGACCTAGGGTCACCTGGGGTCCAAAGCCTGGGAGCAAGGTCCCGGAGAGAGGCGCAAGTTGCGGTGTCCGGAAGCCGACGACTGCGCTCCGAACCCGGGGTAAAGGGGCGCGCTGCCCGAGCACGCAGTGCGGTGTCAGGGGGTCTGCAGCGCGGAAGGGAGCTGCGGGCCCAGTGTGCGGACAGCCCCTTCGGCCGCGAGCTCTCATTGGACGGGGCGGGGCGGGGCCGAGGCCGGGGACACGCGCTGCCCTTAAGGCGGCTCCGCCCGCGCCAAGCCCGGGGCGCTCCTCCGAGCCCTAGGTGTAGCGGCCGCCTCCTCCCCTGGGCGCTCCCGCGCGCTAACGCGCAGCTCCCCCACCTGCTCCCGCGCGCCGCGACGGGGCGCCGCGGCTCCCTCCAGCGCCCCGAGCGCCCAGTCCTTGCCGACACCGCGCCACCGGGTCCTAGCGCCCTTCACTCGGCAGCCCCAACTTCGGTAGGGGACCTACCGGCGGGCGGAGCGGGAAGGGGCTGCAGACACTTCCCTCCTGTCCCCAGCCTACAATGACACTGGCGCTGAGCACTGAGGATGAACTCATTTCCTCCATCCTTGCGCATCTGTGAAATGGGTAGAATCCCTGCCTCAGGGAGTCGGGGGAGTCCTATCTTTTCAACACTGCCTACAGGGGCGCCGTGGGCAGTCGGCTTCGGTCAGGGAATGCTTTCACCTAGGGCTCATCGCCCCTGCTTCTTCCGACCCACTGCACCCCCGATCCCAAAGCATCACGTTTAGACCTGGCTCCTGCCTGCCCGGCCTGCCACGCCCGGGTGCTTTTCTTTACGGACTGGGAAGCAACGGCGGAGGCGATGGGGGCACCTGCGGACTCCCCGCCCCTTACTCCAGGGCTCAGCGGAGCTCAGTCTCTCCCTGCTCTCTCTCTGTGCCTCGGTCCTCCACCCTCTCGGGCGGGGCCGAGAGTATGAAAGAATCAGAAACAGCTGGGAGGTTTTCCCGCACCAGAGGCCAGGGTGGGGGTCCTGCCGAGAGGGTGGACGCCCTGGAGATTTTTCCCTCCTTCGCCTTCCCACCCTGCCTCCTCCCCCGTGCTTCCTCACCCTCCCTCCGCCCGCACAGCGCCTTGGGGGCGTGGTAAATCGGGAAGGGGTGGGGAGGTGCAGTCTGCGGAAAGTGACCCTCTTCTCCCACCACCCCAACCCTCACCTTCCCTGGGTTGCAGGTACAGCCCCTGCGGGCACAGGGGCCCTTAGTCAGAAGTCAAATTCTTTTTAAAATCCTGGTCCTTCTAACTCCGAGGGTTCAGAGTTCACCTGGCATCTGGCTCTAGGCCCTTCTTCAGCCTCAGTTTCTCCCACCTCGAAGGTGTCTTTCCTGCCTCCTCATGTGATTTATTTAAAGTCCTGGTGTAAACAACTCACTAGTAACTGCAGATGCCCTCAGCCCCAAATTCACTGTCATTCCTTGGTTGGGGGTGGGGGGTGGTGGTGGCATTAGAGGTGCCTCCTGAGTGTGAACAGATGGGGTGCAGCTGGCTGCAGACATCTCAGAAACAGAGCTAGGGGAGAAGGTTTCAGAGGGACCTTTATCCTCTCTCCCCACCTCTCACTCCTTTACCCTTGCTTTCTATGGTAAGGTGCTGAGTGCATTCATGAATTCAACAAATACTTATTTCCTACCACATGCTAGGACTGTGCTAGGCACTGGGGACAAGTCGGTAAATAATTCATCCCCTCATGGAGTTTGCATTCTATTGGGGGAGGATAGACAATAAACAATAAACATCAGAAGCAAGACAGAGTATGTTAGAAAGTGGTAAGTGCAGTGGTAAAGAGAGCACAGTCAAGGGAATGGTTACACTTGCAAGTAGGATGATCAGGGTAGGCTTCATTAAGGTGACATTCAAGCAGAGATTTGAAGGAGGTGAGGAAAAGAGCCAGGCAGCTTCCTGACAGAGAGCATCCCAAGCTGAGTGAAGAGCCAGTACAGAGACCCAAAGGCAAGAGTGGGCTGGTGTACCAGGGCCCGCCCAGCTGGAGTGGAGTGCATCATGGAGGAGGAGAATTCAGATGAGGCCCTGAGGTGCTCCAAGTCATGAATGGGAGGCAGTGCTCCCCGCTTAGGTGGAAAGTGGGGGCTGGGCTGGATTGGATGGGAGTGGGAGAGCACTGAAAACGGGGAGACCTCGAAGGACCGACTTCCTGGCACAGAAACCAGGACTGTATCATTTGTAGCCAACCAGCTAGCTTCTTTGCTTCCCCTTCACTCCCTTTTAGTGGGGTGGGCTCGAGTTAGCCCTGCTATTTCCTTAGAAAATCGCAGACTCTGTGCTTAGTTTTCCTGAGAGGGGCAGGTGGGAGAGGAGTGAGCCCCGGCTCATTCTTGGCTGGGCCCCTTTCCTTAGACCACTCTTTTATTTTACCTCCTCCCAGCCCCGCCCCATCCCTACACAGGGCAGTCTTGGAGTTCCAGCAGCCTCTCCCAGACTCCCCTGTGTGTTTAGACCTGGGTGTGACTCTGGCCCTGTGTTTATTTCTACATATGGGCCTGGGGTTGGTGGGAAGCGCAGGGAGCAGGAAAGTTGGCTGAAGATGATCCATCAGCCCTAACCTAGAGTGGACTCGCCCACATGGGCCCCCACATCACTTCTGAGGCCGTTTCTCTGGCCTGAGCTGTCTTTATCATCAAGTGGGACTGTGTCTTGGCACAACATAGATGCTCAAGTATTAAAAGCATGTTTTTGAGGCCCATGCTTGGTGGCTTATGCCTGTAATCCCAGCACATTGGGAGGCTGAGGTGGGAGGATTGCCTGAGCATAGGAGTTAGAGACTAGCCTGGGCAATATGATGAGACCCTGTCTCTACAAAAAAAAATTTTTTTTAATTAGCCAGGTGTGGTCACGCACACCTGTGGTCCCAGCTACTTGAGAGGCTGAGCCAAGAGGATTGCTTATGCCCAGGAAGTCAAAGCTGCAGTGAGGCATGAATGCACCACTCCACTCCAGCCTGGGCAACAGAGTAAGACCCCATTTTAAAATAAGTAAATACTAATTAAAAAAAAATTTTTTAACCATGTCTTTGAGCTGAAGGGGGGCCCCAGAAACCTCAGCAGCTCCAAGAGGGAAGGAAGTGGGTGAGGGGACAAGACTTCTATCTAAGGATTATAAGTCATCTCTGCCCCCAGAGTGACAACCCAGGATGGGACTTGGCTCCTTTTGCTGCTTCTTCCCCTCTCCTGAGTCCCCAGCTCCCCAGAAAGAATCTCAGGCTGCAGCAGCCAGCTGACTGCAAGAGCTGCACTCAACCACTTAACTAGAGAACAAATATGGAGCCAGAGAAGAGGTTTTCTGGGATCTGCCTCTTTGGAGCTTCAAATCTCAAAATAAACTTCCAATCTCCAGGTCCTAGACACTACTGGAGAGCTCAGCTCCTCACGCAAAGGCCTGTTGTGGGGCTTCCAGGCAGCGGGTCAAGGCCAGAGGCTCAAGCCAGCTCATGACCTGCTCCTTCATTTTATGTCCACACTCTCACTCTCAGTTCTGGAAGCCAGAGGGAGGAGTCACTGATTTGAGCGTTAAGTTCTGGTCTGTAGAACCCTGCAGGGAGTCAAGTCAGCACTTACTGAGCACCTGCTGTGTGCCCAACACTGGCCAGGGTATCCTAAATAACAAGGAGCAAAAGGGTTTTACTCCCAAGGCATTTTCTTTTTTTTTTTTTTTTTTTGTGAGACAGAGTTTCGCTCTTGTTACCCAGGCTGGAGTGCAATGGCGCGATCTCGGCTCACCGCAACCTCCGCCTCCTGGGTTCAGGCAATTCTCCTGCCTCAGCCTCCTGAGTAGCTGGGATTACAGGCACGCGCCACCATGCCCAGCTAATTTTTTGTATTTTTAGTAGAGACGGGGTTTCACCATGTTGACCAGGATGGTCTCGATCTCTTGACCTCGTGATCCACCCGCCTTGGCCTCCCAAAGTGCTGGGATTATAGGCGTGAGCCACCATGCCCGGCCTTCCCAAGGCATTTTCATGCAAATACAATAAAGCTGTCCTTGGGTGGCACACTGTTCTGCTGAGGTTCAAGGGTGCACGCTGTGGACACGGTGAACAGTATCAACAGAGACCTGAGGAAGAATCCCAGGTTCCTTGGAGGCTGCCAGATTACCTGGGGCCTCCAGCACGACAGCTTCCACCCAGCCAGCAGGGTCTGGTCCTGCCTCTTCCTCATAGTGGCACTAGAGCCTCCTCCTGTCCTCTCAAAAGTGGGTGCTCAAAGAAGAGTCTGCTCTCACCCTTGATATCACCTTATGCTCTGCTCTCTGGTGGAGCAGAGTTAAGATTTCTCTTCACTCTGTTCTCAGCTATTCGTGGCTGAATGATTTTGAATTTTTGCTGGCCCTGGGATGGGAGGGGAGATGAGCTAAGGGGAGCTGGGGTGTGGGTAAACAGCTCTTACCCCGCCCTGCTCTAGCCTCCAGAAGGCTCCCCTTCCCTGGGCCCCTTTGGCGATGACCTTCTCTTTTTCCCTGTGGGTGGGAGGTGGTGTGGATGGTAATGAGCAGAGAGAAAGGCCAAGAAGGGGCTGGGGGGAGGTTTGGATGGGAGTCAAGGAATTCCTGAGCCTGCTGCTTGCAGAAGGGGCCCTGAGACGCCTTTCCTGAGATTTCTTTGCAAACCGAGGCAGGTCTCACTTGAAGTAGGGCCAGGTTCACACAGGTAACTAATGCCTCACCTCTTGCCCTGCCACCCCATGCAGGTGTCTGGGGAAGTGAAGGAAGCTTGGAAAGAACCCAGGAGCTGTTAAGTGGGGGAGAGAGAGGGGATCCATGCTTTGTACACAGCCTGGCAGGCCTCTCCTTGGTATTTATGAGCTCTTAGGCGAGGCGTGGAACGTGTCTCAAAGAGGCCAGACCAAGAGGGCTTTGGAGGGAAGGAGCATCAGCTCCAAACCAGGAAAGGGGGCTTGATGGAGGAGGAGCCTCCCAACCTAGTGGCTAAACAGGGGTGCAAACTTCTCCCCAGAGGATGAGGAGGAAAGGAAGAGAGGGATCTAAAGGAGAAGGGGAAGGAGGAGAGGCTGCTTGGGGAGGTGAAATGATGGGGGCAGGGAGTGGGGGTGTCTGGAGCCTTTTGGCACTTTGGTTGTAATCAGACTGGAGCCAGGCGGTGGGCGGGCTGACAGCCATGCTGGGCGGGTGGCCCAGGTTCCGTGTGAGGCCAGTGGGTGTGCTGCTGGGATCCTGGGTGGCCACTGACCGCCTCTCCCTGAGGGAGGGTTCCCAGTCTGCCTGATCACACAGGCTATGCACTGAGCCTTCTGTCTCCCCTACCACCTGTTCTGGGCCCTAGAATGATCTGGAAGTGAGAATTGTTTCCAGTGGACAATATCTGCAGAGGGCACGGCCTGCCTCCCTGCCTCCCTCCCACTCTGCCTTCCTCAGTTCACTCTACCTCTTGTTCTCGTGCTCTCCCCATGTCTCTTCTCTGAGTCTCCATCTCCTTGGGTCTCTCTCTGGCTCGTGTTTCTGTCATTCTGTGTCTATTTTCATCTGTCTGTTGTGTTAATCTCCCTGTCTTCATGTGTCTCTCTGTGTGTCTGAGTTGGCCTGCCTCCGCTCTCTCTCTGAATGTCTCTGTCCTTCTCTCTCTCAATCTGTCTCTTGCCTATCTCCCTTTCAGTCTGCGTAACTGCCTGTCTCTCTGTGTGTATCTCTCTATGAATCTGCATGACCGTTTGTCTTGCTCTTCCTTCACTCACTCTACCTATGTCTCCATGTCGTTTCTGACTCTCTGTGGCTTTCTCTCTCTCTCTGTCTTTGTGCATGTCTGTGTGCACACCTCTATTTTCCTAGGTGTGTATCTTTGCTTCTGTCTTTGTCTCTTTCTCTTGCCGTCTGTCTCATACCTCCCCCTTGTAGCTCCTGTAACACAGTGCAGGGAGCACTGGACCAGAAAAAAAATCAGAAAACCTGAGGGTGTTTTCCCCCAACTCAGCCATGCACTACTGGCATAACTCTGTAAATCACTTTCCCACTTCAGGCCTCAGTTTCCCCACTGGTGGAACAAGTAGAGTAGAGATTGAGTTCCTTCTGTGGGAGCCTCTTTCTTCTTCCTAAATCTGACCCTGAAGTCAGGACTCCAGCATCCTAGGGACTCCAGTGGAGTGGGGTCTCTGGTACTGTCAGCCAGCAGGCCCCCAAAGAAAGACTCCTCACTCCTTCACATCCTTACATATCAGGGTGGACAAGGTCCCTTTCTGGGGCCATGTCTGGGATACAAACCAGATTAGCTCATCTCTCTAATCCTCTTTGTGCTGGGGCCTCTGCCAGGCAGGGACACCCACAGCGCAGAGCAAGGGTGTGTGTGTGAGTGTGTGTGCAGATTCTTGGAGAAGGCAGGACACTCAAAGTTTTCCTCGCTTTGTTACCCCCTCCTGCCTGAGAAGCTCAAATCAGCAACCCTCACTGTGTAAGAAACATCATCCGACTTGAGCCAAGTCAGGTTTTTCATAATCCCTGTCTGCAATCCCCTCTCCCCTAGCTTTTTTCTCTATAGACTGGACCAATCATTCCAGCCTTCCTCCTGGACCTGAAAAACCCAGAACCCAGCCCTCCTCTTCTCATAACCCACGTGTCTGTGTGTGTATTCTCCTGCAGTCATCACAGGAGAAGGGTCTTTCCATGAAAAGCAGGAGGGTGAGGCTGGGGATCGTGGACACGCGGGCTGGGGGGAGGGCAGGGAAAGCAGGCTGTCCTTGGGCTTCACACCCCCAAGTCCGAGGCCTCCAGCCCTTCCCTGAGGTTTCCTTTGGAGAGGTCTCTCTTGCCCGGTAAGATCAAAGCATTCCCTCTGCCAAATCATTACCTTATTTTCGAGGCAATTAGAGAACTTATTGTATCAATTAGCCGGGTCTTCAGCTTCAGCGGTTTATCGCTGCTTGTCTCTGTCTTGCAGAGGAAAGGGTCTGCCCGGCAAAGCCCTCCGGCCAGAGAGGGGAGGGCGGGGTGCAGGGCCGGGCTCTGGAGGGCCCCAGGGCCGCGCCCGGCCGGGGGAGCTGTCCGGATGCTTTCAGCTGGGATGGGCAGCGGGAGGGCACGGGGACGCGCTCCCGAGATGAGAGCCGGGCGGTTCCTCCCGGCGCTGGCCTCGGCCGCAGGATCGCCAGCACCTGCGCGCCGGAGTAGCCCGGGAGAGAGAGCCGCAGAGGGAGAGGAGACCGCTCCGGCCAGGCGCGGCCGGGGCCCCGGCCCGGAGGAGAACGCGGAGCTTTAGCCAAGATGCCCTGCCCCTTCCCGACTCGCGGGTGGGCGACTCCCCCTGTGAGCCGGGCGCCGCGCCGTGGCGTTCGCGGGAAAAGCACGGCAGCCTGAGCTTCGTCTTCTGGGGGACCCCCGCGTTTCAGACCCAGAGAAAACCTCAGAAGTGGCGTGGCACGGAGAAGCGGGCGTTCCCTAGGGCCGGCGAGTGTGGCCGGCTTTGCTTCCGCCCCGACCGCAACTCCTGCCTGCAGCCGAAGCGCACACGCAGCGCGGATTCGAGTAAGCCGGGGGACCCCTAGAGCCGCGGTTCTCAAACATTTTGGTGTCAGCACCTCTTTACACTCTTACAAATTATCAAGGACCCCAGAGAGCTTTTGTTAATATGGGTAATAACTATCCATATTAATAATTAACATAAACACAGGAGCCAACTGAAAAGTTCCCAGGGGCCAAAGCTGGACAATTTGCGCAACAAAATAAAATCGTTTTCTATTGTAACCCAAAGCATAAAATTAAATATCCATGAGCCCATGCTGATACAAATAAATGACTGAATGAATAAATAAATGGGGGAGAAGAGACACATTTCCCAAGCAGAATTCCAAATAATTTGTGTGGATATTCTGCCCTGAAGGAGGGGAAATACAACTCCCTACTGCTTAGGTGTGGGCTATGCATTGTGACCTTTTTCCCGGAGCAAAGTACAGATAGGGAGTGTGGAGGGGAAGAGCAACTTCACAGTGGAGAAAGCTGACAAATACAACCTCACTGGCTGATCAAGGTCAGCATACCAGTGTCAGGTTGCTAGTAGGTACCCACGATATGATGTGATAAAACAGCACTTTCCCTCTGTGGTCCTCCTCCCCATAACCTCAGTCTAATCATGAGAAAAAACACCTGGTAAATTCCACCAGGGGAACATTCTACAAAATACCTGACTATTACTCCTCAAAACGGTCAAGGTCATTGAAAACAAGGAAAGTCTGAGAAACTGTCACAGCCAAGAGGCGCCTAAGGAGACGTGACAAGAAAATGTAATATTATATCTTGGATAGGATCCTGGAAAAGGAAAAGGACATTGGAGAAAAACTGAGGAGCTCTGAACAAAGTATGGACTTTAGTTAATAATAATGTATTAGTATTGGTCCAGCATTGTGACTGTAGCATCCGTTTGTAGTGTAGGGAAGATGTTTATGATCAGGAAAACTGGGATATATGAGCGCTTTGTACTATCTTCGCAATTTTTCTGTAAATCTAAAAACTGCTCTAAAATACAAGATTTTATTTTATTTTTATTTTTTGAGACAGGGCCTTGCTCTCTCATCCAAGCTGGAGTGCGGTGGCGTAATCATGGCTTACCCTGAATTCTTGGGCTCAAGCCATCCTCCTTCCTCAGCCTCCCGAAGTTCTGGGATTATAGGCATGAGCCACTGCACCTAGCCTAAAATGTATTTTATAAGATCAAAATGGAAACATTTAAAAATATTTCTTTTAATTTTTTATAATAACCCCAATACTTATTAATACCATATTTTTATGGGAAAATACCTATAATTTCCAAAACAGAGTGAGAAGAATGGCATTATTTAACATTTTTGCAAATACTGTATCTTTAATGTCTGTCTTAATAGCAGGATTCTCATATGTGCTTCTCGTTCAGTCTGGTGTGATATTACTTGTCATGTAGCCTCTGGAAAACTCCACTGTACACTCATGAGAGAATGAGGGAAACAAGAACAAATAACAGCATAGTGTTACCATGAACCTCTTTGAGAACCACTGCCTTAGCAATCTTATCCATTCCTGTGATTTGAGATCCTCAATTCAAACTTCCTAACTTTGACATCTCTTCTGAGTGTGCTGATTATGTCTGTCATCATACCCTCACCTTTTCCTCCACCATCTACCCTTTGAAGACTTCCTGGTATATGTCAACATGACCATCGTCCCTCTGCTCATAGCAGCTTTGTGGAATTAATGGTCAAGACACTGCACTCTCTGCTGTGCACAATTATTTAGTAATGAGATAGTTATGCCTCTCATTTCTCTTAAACATATTGAGAAGTGTTGCAACTCCTAGAACAGTGAATGCTTAGTAAATGATTGTTGGATGATTAGAAACAATTTTGGAGTCTGAGTTATTTTTCTTTCTGATGAAGTATCTTCACTCCTGCATAGCAACCTGAGTCTCCACCATGCAATGATAACACTCTGATTTAGTAAGTTTGACATTAAATATGTTAGCTGTAGGGTTTTTGTACATGTTCTTTATCAAGTTGAGAAAGTTTACCTCTATTCCTAGTTGATGAGAGTATCATAAGTGGGTGGTGGGTTTTGTTGAATGGTATTTCTGCATTTATTGATATGATATGTGAGTTTTCCTTTTTAGACTGTTAATGTGATAGGTTATATTAATTGATTTTCAAATGTTGAATCAGCCTCACATATCTGGGATAAATCCCAGTTGGTGTGTAATTCTTTTTATACATTATTGGACTTAATTTGCTAATATTTTGTGGATTTTTGCATCTATGTTCATGAGAGATATTGATCTGTAGCTTTCTTATAATGTCTTTGTCTGGTTTTGGTATTACAATAATCCCTGGACTCATAGAATAAGTTAGGAAGTATTCCCTCGCCTCTGTCTTCTGGAAGAGATTGTGGAGAGTTGCATTGTTTTGTTCTTGGTGGAAGCGGGGTTTTTTTTTTTTTTTTTTGAGGTGGAGTCTCACTCTGTCACCCAGGCTGGAGTGCAGTGGCGCAATCTCAGCTCACTGCAACCTCTGCCTCCTGAGTAGTTATTCTCCTGCCTCAGCCTCCTGAGTAGCTAGGATTACAGGCATGTGCCACCATGCCAGGCTAATTTTTGTATTTTTAGTGGAGATGGGGTTTCACCATGTTGATCAGGCTGATCTCAAACTCCTGACCTTGTGATCTGCCCCCTTCAGCCTCCCAAAGTGCTGAGATTACGGGTGTGAGCCACTGCGCCTAGGCGAAGCGGCTTTGAAAGTGGGTAAATGGATAGAGGCTGAAACAGTTTTGAAATGAATGATGGAAAAACTTATATTGGTGTGAAAGGAGTATTAAGGGTGATTCTATTACACTAAGGGCTCAGAAAATAACTACTGGGAAAGCTTCTCTCTTAATGATTACCTGAATGGTCATGACCAGAATGCTGGTAAAAATATGGACAATGAGAGACAATTTCCAATTTCCAATTGGAAACTGGAGGAAAGGCCATCCTTGCTATAAAGCATCAAAGAACTTGGCTGAGTTATGTTCATGTCTTAGAACTTAGGGGAAGACAAAATTTAAGAGGGGTGAACTAGTGCAGCCATAAAAAAGAATGAGATTGGCCAGGCACGGTGGCTCATGCATGTAATCCCAGCACTTTGGGAGGCCGAGGTGGGCAGATCAACTGAGCTCAGGAGTTTGCGACCAGCCTGGCCAACATGGTGAAACCCCATCTTTACAGAAAATACAAAAATTAGCTGGGTGCGGTGGTGCATGCCTGTAATCCCAGCTTCTTGAAAGGCTGAAGCAGGAGAATCCCTTGAACCAAGGAGGCAGAGGTTGCAGTGAGCCGAGATCACACCATTATACTCTAGCCTGGGCAACAGAGTGAGACTCTGCTTCAAAAAACAACAACAATAATGAGGTTATGTCCTTTGCAGGGACATGGATGGAGCCAGAAGCCATCATTCTCAGCAAACTAACACAGGAACAGAAAACCAAACACTGCATGTTCTCACTCATAAGTGGGAGTTGAACAATGAGAACACATGGACACAGGGAGGGGAACAACAGACACTGGGGGCCTGTCAGGGGGTGGACAAGGAGAGGGAGAGCATTAGGACAAATACCTAATGCATGCAGGGCTTAAAATCTAGAGGCCGGGCGCGGTGGCTCACGCCTGTAATCCCAGCACTTTGGGAGGCTGAGGCGGGTGGATCACGAGGTCAAGAGATCGAGACCATCCTGGTCAACATGGTGAAACCCCGTCTCTACTAAAAATACAAAAAAACATTAGCTGGGCATGGTGGCGCGTGCCTGTAATCCCAGCTACTCAGGAGGTTGAGGCAGGAGAATTGCCTGAACCCAGGAGGCGGAGGTTGCGGTGAGCCGAGATTGCGCCATTGCACTCCAGCCTGGGCAACAAGAGTGAAAC